TTACCATTAGTTTCTATTGCAATCTTTAGATTATGTTGTGTTTAGGACAATGTAATGGCTTCAGAATAAGTCAGTGATAAGCAACCCATCCAATTCATTATTATACCGGTAGGAAAAGAAAACAATTTTATTTCCCCTTCCTTTCAGCCAAGTAACATTTTCAAAAACACAGTTTTATGAAGACATAACAGAGAAACTTAACATCAAATCTTTGTGCTAAGACTTTTACCTCCATTAGTTCTGTATTTTGTCTTGTCGGAGGTGAGGGGAGGCAACCACAGCTCAGAAATCCAAGTCTTTTAATTTCTCACATTAACAATATTTCCTATTGTTTCCTTACTTTAGTTAGGGCCCATTCCCTCCTCTTTACACCAAAGAATAGCTTTGATCTGTGTATTAAGTTATCAGGAAGAGACACCATGAACTCTAAGTTTGTCTGCTAGGATGCGAGCAGCCAACAGCTACCCCAGTCTAAACGCTCCCTGTGGATAAGGTAATCTGGCTCGCCCCATTAAGCTCTGTTTGGGGTTGGGCCATTCAAGCTTCAGGCCTGCATTCTAACCACTTAGCAATCAAGACAACCACTTATTAACACCCACAAACTATTACACACCAGGATCTTTTCAGACATTCAGATAAGACAACCAATACCCCAGTGAAGTTCTCAATCTAGGGACAGACAGAATTTATGGGAAGACAACTGTGATATGAGCTTAGGAGGATACGAGAAGGTAGCTAGGCAAGAACGGATGAGAGACAATGTGACAGTTTAAACCTGATGTTCCCGCAAGAAAAGGAGTAGGAGTACACAGGTTTGAACAATAATCCCTTTCAGTCCCTGTGTCAAGCAATCACACTGCAAGCATATCTTAGTATGAAAGCAAAACCAGAATCCAGCTGAATAAAAATCTATTAGGGCTAAACATCAAAATATTTGTCTACCTAGTGACAGCACATCTAAGGTATTATGTTCTAGTCTAGAAGCAATTATTTCCTCTGAGTTTATTCTGATGAGAAATTAACAATGCTTAAAAGCAAAATTTCTGCAGCTCTCTAGAAGATAATTTTTGTGCAGTTTTTCTTACCAGGTTAGAGACCAAGTGTGTCCAATTTATTGTAATTTCAGTTTTGAGCAAGATGTGGGAGAAGTATAAAGGCAGGTTACCCAGACAACTAACCTTACTGCCTACCTGCCTATCTCCAGGATAACTGCTTTCTAAATTATCTCTATGAATCATGCTCACCAATGCATCTTCCATGACAGTCCTTACTTCGTTATGTTAGTAAAGCTTCTTCCCTTCCTGTTTCCAACCCAGAGACCTTTGGTCATTAAGAAAAATTCAGAGACGAAGAGATTGTACTCCTTAATAGCTGAACTATGCCAAATGCTTTCAAATCACAGCTTGTGGACCAGCAGCAGCTTGCAGGGACTTGACTGATCACACAATGCTGGCTTTCCTTCCCATCTCCAGATTTCATATCATTTTTGTGTACTGACAAAAAATAGTAAGACATATGACTGCCATTATTTTCCTGGGAATGAGAAAGATGGCAGATTTATTTTTGAATAGTTAGAAAGTGCCTGTGGAAAAATTAATTTGTCATTTATACAATTAAAGTTTGAGCCCATAGAGTTGAGATGAGACAGTTACGTAGCTGCACATAAAGCCTTCAGGAATATGACTAGAAAAAACCCAAAAAACGACACCCCCACACACACTTTTCTAGTCAACTCCAGGTTTTATTTTACCTTCATTCTTCTTGTCTGCTTAACTGTCTTTGATGCTGGTGAAAACAACAACCAAAAGCCCCTTGATTCTTCTTTCCTGATGAGTCCATCCTCATGCTGTCTTTCTTCCATGTCTCTTAATATCCCATGGGGTTCATTTAGATTCTCTTCCCTCCCAAAGGAGGGGTCACATTCTGTTCGCCTCATTCTTCTCTGTATTTCCTTTATAAATAATCTGTCTCTCTACTTCTTAGCACATTGCAATGCATTTTAGTGATACCTCCTATTGTTTAGCAAAAGGACCCTATACCAAAGCTAAATTCTAACTTTGTTTCCTCAACTCTAATGCACTGCTGTCCTTTCTGAAACCCAGCCCTGTACCTTTAGGGTCATGTTTCCATTTTATCCACACAATTGGTAAGCTCCCTGAACAGCTGGTCTTATTCAAGGCCTCATCTATCCTTCATCTTGATCACCTTTTGTAGCTCATTCTTTCCAAACTTCTCAACATTCATACTCCCACCTTCAGTTTACTGAATTTCAGCAGTGGGAGTAACCTCTTTCCCATCGCAGTAAACATAAAATTCTGTCTCTCTTGCACATACAAATTTAAACAACTGCCCAAATTCCCATGTTTCATCACATTAACTTGTTTGTTCTCATTTTCAAGGCCCTTCAGTGCTCTTCCTCTCTCTCCTCAATTGCTCTTGTCTTTCACCACATCACCTCTCTCCTCTTCCATTGTAGTCTCAAAGCTATTCCCTTTCATCAAGCTCCACAACAAGGTTTTGTCATTTCAAAGCTTACATATATGGCACATTTTGACAGGATCTATCATACCACTAGGCTTTCTCTTTCCAATTCAGAGACCTAGCTGGCATTATGAAAGTGGTAGATCCTAGCAGTTAACTAAGGACTTGAAAATGGTGAAAAAGTCAGTGTTTATCGAGCTTTTTAATCAAGTTAAATGAGTCATAATACCAACAGGATGTTTAACTCTATCCCTCTCCCTGCATCTCTATTTTCACAGTCCCTGAGCCTGCACGGATTCCTCACAGCTGCATCCTACACAGCCACACTCAAATGATGTAGGAAAGGCTGAGGGGATACAGACAGAGAAAGGATATTGGATACAGACCACCAAAGAAACTGAGCAGCTTACATGCAAGTGTTCAAAAGTATTTCAAGTTTGATACATTCAAGAACATTATAAATTCAAGAGAAGATGAAAGTTTTTATGAACTTTCATGGTTAAAATCCTTAAGTGAGATTAGACAGTATGATTGTGTAAACACTGAGGCTCAGTACGTACAAAAATTCTTAAGTATGACAGTAGTTGCATAAAATTAAAAATCAGATTATATTCCTTCCACATTTTACGACTATGCCATCCGTTGTATCTGCCCTCCTCTTGTAATTCATATCCCTCTCTTCAGGCATGCTCATCTTTTTAGGGCTAAGAACTTCTTTCAGTCTCTGAAACAGTGGCTTTTGCATAGCAGGGTTTGTGAGGTCTTGAATTACCATATTTGCCTAACCTTGTATAGTTCAAATTGATAAATACCCTGGTGAAGAGACTACAATCCATGAAATACCGCATAAAACTTACAACCTTGTATATATACATTTTGAAGTTATCAGTAGCCATGAAGAATTTCCAAGCTGCATTTTAAGTACTTGCGAAATAATTCAAAAATAGTATTTGTATTTCTTCGCTGTCAAGAAATCTATTAACAAACAGAGTTACAGTGTTAGCCACACAATTTAAATATTTTTTAAGAGCAAAAACACAAGCATCACAAGGCTTACATGCAAGAGTCTGAAGACTGATGAGCTGGGGAGCTGGTCAAACATTCTCTCTCTGTTACATCAAGATACATTGGAGACTAAAGTGCTCTTTCAGTGTAAGAATTTATAAACTAGATTGTGTACACAGAACAGAGCCAGACTAGGCTCACTCTCCCTAAGCCTTCTGTCTTTTTTCTCTAACCACCTGAAGAGCACAAAGGGTAAACACACCACAACATCCCAAGGAGTAATTTAACAAAAATTATTAAGCAAACATCTTAAAATGTACATTGATACCTTCAAGGTACAGTCTGACTCATAAGCAATGGTACAGAGAACTCTCCTCCTCCCTCTGGTTCTTCATCATGAATCAGTACTATGAACTCAACATAATAACAGATCTGAAGTCAGTGTAAAGCCTTCTAGTGAATTAACAAGTCACACTTATACTGGCAGTAAATTAAAGCAGTGGGTAATTTGACAAGATAATTTGCTTTTTAGTATGCCACATGATAGATTTGCATGAGGGGAAAAAAAGAAATGAAACTAGAATATGTTCTAGGCAAACAAGATTGGGGGAGTGAAAAGAGGAGAATGCGAGGGAAGGAAAATAGAAATGCTCTTTTCCTTGAGCCATTAGTTCAGTTTTAAATCAGTCTGCAATGTTCACAACTCCCTATTCTGCGGACAGAATATATCTGGCATGGATGAGGCTCTTCAGTCTTGCCCTTTGAAAAGCTTAAGTGAAAGAACATACTACAAATGTGAACCTTGATCTTAAAGGGCTACTCTCCGGATATTAAGAGCATGACAGTGAAAAAGAGGGAGAAAGAAAAATATCTCCTTTTCTGCTCTTCCAGTGAAAGCAGTTTCACAGCAGATATCTTTGTTGTTTAACAAAGATTCTTTACTAGAAAAAACATTTTTATTAGTATTTCCCTTTAATCACTGATGATAACAGAAAAATAACTGCTTAGGAAGATAAATCCTATCATCACCTTGATCAATACACTCTGTGTATTAAGGCATTTCTCTTAAACTTGAGCTCCAAAAACAGTTTTGCACATGAGATCACCTGCATGGGATTTTAAACCCTGACAACAATTCCACCTCCTTTCTGAAAACTACGTACAGTAAAATATCATTCAGCATGCCTTTGCCTGCACCCTTTTCCTCCTTTGGTACTACCTGGGA